CAAAAGCAAACAGAGATAACGAAGTTTCCCACTCGTATTCTGGATGAATGGCCTCTCCACCATCTTGTGACTGTATGAGACCACCATGAAAGTGGACAGTTCTACAATGCCTAATCTACATCTCTGACCATTATGGGTGCTGTGTAAAGACAGGACTGGACAAAATGGGGATATCGATGAACATCAACTCATTTGGCAGACTAACTACTACATGAAATTACCCCATCCTGGGTGAAAGGGCAAACATAAGGCAACTACAGATCTCAGAGAACGTCAACTCAACTAGCCATTTATAAAGTTATGTCTATGACCACTATAGGACTATGGCTGAATGCACTCAACCGATTATGGGCGAATGCCCTTACTCAACTGGACTACCCAAACATGGAAGAATGCACTTACCCTACCATAACCGACTGCATTTACACGACTGGACTACCTGACCATGGCCAAATGCATTAATCCAATTGGTCTACCTGACCATGGCCAACTGCACTTACTCAACTGAACTACCAAACTATGGCCAATTCAACTTACCCACCTAAACAAGACTACCCAACCTTGGCCGACTGCCCTTACCCAACTGGATTACTTGACCGTGGCAGAATGCAGTAACCCAAATAAACTGCCCGACCATGGAAAAATGCAGTCACTCGACCATGGCCAACTGCTCTTATCCAACTGGACTACCCGACCATGGCCAACTACCCTACCCAACTGAAGTACTTGACAATGGCAGACTGCCCTTACATAGCTGAACTACCTGACCGTGGCCAAATGCACCAACCCAATTAAACTGAATGAATGCACTCACCCGACCATCATGGCTCAACTGCACTTACTCAACTGAACTACCCAACTATGGCCGATTCAACTTACCCACCTAAACTAGACTACTCAACCTTGGCCGACTGCCCTTACCCAACTGGACTACTTGACCGTGGCTGAATGCACTAACCCAAATAAACTACCCGACCATGGAATAATGCACTCACTTGACCAAGGCCGACTGCTCTTTCCCAACTGGACTACCCAACCATGGCAAACTACCCTTACAAGACTGAACTACCTCACCATGGCCAAATGCACCAATCCAAATGAACTACCTGACTATGGCCAACTCAACTGCACTTACTCAACTGAACTACCAAACTATGGCCAAATGCACCTACCCAACCATTGAAAAATGCACCATGGTCAACTGTTCTTATCCAACTACGGACAACTGCTTTAACTCAACTGAATCACCCAACCATAGTTGACTGCACTAACCTGCCTGACTTACCTGACCATAGCTGTCTTCAATAACCCAACTGAACTTAACCCAAAAGAACTAGCCGACCATGGCCAACTAAACCAGCCCAAATGACCTATCTGACCATTGCCAACTACACCAGCCCAACTGAACTACCCAACCATGGCCGACTGCACCTACCTGATTGAACTACCTAACCATGGTCGACTGCACCTAGCCAAACGAACTGCCCAACTATGGGCGACTGCACCTACCCAACCATGGTCAATTGCACCTACCCAACTAAACTACCCAACTATGGAAGAATGCATTCACCCGCCTGAACTACCCGAACATGGCTGACTGCCTTTACCAAACTGGACTAACCAAGCATAAAAGAATGGCCACTTCCTTTACCTGATGACCATGGCCAACCCAATCAGGGCTGACTGCACCAACCCGACTGATCTTGGAAGAATGCACTCATCCAACCAAGGCCGAGTGCTCTTACCCAGCTGGACTACCTGACCATTGCACTGACCCGGCCTTGGCCAATTGCCCTTCCCCGGCCTTGGTCAATTGCCCTTCCCTACATTGGGACTACAAGACCATGGCCAACTGCATTACCCATTTTTTTTCCTTTAATGGGCCCTCATACAGTCGATCCTGCCCCAATATCACACTTTGGTGAGGATCGGGCTATTTATGGCTACATTTTGGGGTCAAAAACAATGACTTCCAGTGTCGGAAATTATTGCTTTTGCTGACATATTACTTACTCCAACACACACTACTAACATCCATACACTTAATCTGTACTTGGATTCATTTATTTGATCAGAAAAGATTCACATGGTTTCTGTAAAATTCACCAGCACATTTGAAAATATTCATATAGCGCCAACAGTTTGCTCAGCACTTTACAAAGTAAAGGGAGAAAGTAAGGTTACAGTACAGCTCAATATGAGAGGGTTAGGAAGGCCATGATCATGGGAGCTCACAATCTAAAAGGGAGGGGCAATTGATATAAAGGGGTAATAACTGTCGGGAGGAGTTTAATGAGAAAGTAAAAGTTTAGTTTTTAAGTGGTGATGGGATAGGCTTCCCTGAAGAGAGGAGTTTTCAGGGACAAAGTAAGAAAAAGCTGTTCAATCTAAGGTAGGGAGTTGCAGAGGATGGAAAAACCTCTGGAGAAGTCCTAGAGGCAAGTATGGAGGTAAAGAACTAGAGGGGGAGGTCTTCTTTTGGTGCTGTGAAGGTTAAGGCGAGCTGCCTGGACCTGTCATAGGTACTTGCCAAGAGTACAAACTACGCCCGCACTTTCCAACCCCTCCTCCATTCATGGCTGTACTAGAGCTTCCATCAGTGAAAAGTGCTCTATGAATGGAGGATCCCACCAGTAGGAGGAGCTCCTGATGTCATCACTGTGTAGTCAGCAGCAGTGTCACATGATCAGAAGCCCCTCCTACCAGCTGTTTATCACAGACCACCAGTAGGAAGGAAACCCCAATGATGTCATCGCTGTGTGGACAATCACAGTGCTGCACGATTGGAAGCCCCTCCTATAGGACATCATAACCCAATAGTAGAAGGGGCTCCCAATGATGGCATCACTGTTTGGACAATCACAGTGCTGCATGAAGGGGAACCCCTCCTTCAGGTCTTACGCATCGTAACCCACGAGTAGGAGGGCCTCCCAATATCATCATTGTGCTGTATGATTGGAAGCCCCTACTGTCCATAGTTATCATGGGAAATGGTAGAAGGGTCTCCCAATGATGTCATCACTGTGCAGCGAATCACAGTGCCACATGGTCAGGAGTCCCTCCTACTAGCTTTGTGCATCACATTCCACCAGTAAGAGCTCCTGAGGTCATCACTGTGCAGCCAATAACGGTGGCGCATGATCAGGAGCCCCTCCTACCAGCCTAGGGTAAGATGGCGCACCTGTAGGAGGGACTCCTGATGATGTCATCATTGTGCGACCAATCACAGTGCCGCAGCAGTAGAAGCTGCTCCCAATTATGTCATCACTGTTTGGTCAACCATAATGCTGCATGATCGAGGGCTTTCAGCATCAGAACCCACCAATAGGAGGGCCCCCTGACTATGTGAGAACTGTGCAGCCAATAATGGTGTTGCATGATCAGAAGCCCCTCCTACCAGCCTTGAGTATGATGGTGCACCTGTAGGAGGAGTTCCTGATGATGTCATCATTGTGCAACCAATCGCAGTACTGCATCAGTAGAAGCTGCCCCCAATTATGTCATCACTGTTTGGTCAACCACAATGCTGCATGATCGAGGGCTTTCAGCATCAGAACCCACCAATAGGAGGGCCCCCTGACTATGTGAGAACTGTGCAGCCAATAATGGTGTTGCATGATCAGAAGCCCCTCCTACCAACCTTGAGTATGATGGCGCAGCTGTAGGAGGAGCTCCTAATGATGTCATCATTGTGTGACCACAGTGCCACACAATTGGGAACTCCTACAGGCCTTGGGCTTCACAACCCATTGGTAGAAACTGCACCCATTGTCATCACTGTATGGCCAATCACAGTGCGAGTTGTGGGCATCACAATCCATTGGTAGGAAGGGGAGCCTCATGATGTCATCACTGTACAGCCAATAAGGTTACTTTCACACACTGATCCATGGCAAAAACTTGTTTTTACTGCATTTGCACTGCATTTTTTAAAGGACACGTGACTCAAAAACCGTACTAAAAATGCAATGCGGGTGCGTTTTTTGCGGCGTTTTCCACTGATTTCAATGGGGAGGTACTTTTTTTTGACCGCACCAAAATGCAACAAGCAGGACATTAAAAAATGCACCGGACCGGCAACTGACCTGTGTGAAGAGTTCCATGGGAATACATGGTCATGCGTTAATCTTCTGCAAAAGCTGAATAAAACAGATCAGTGTGAAATCAGCCTTACAGTACTAGATGGTCAGAAGCCCCTCCTACCAACCTTGGTTAGCACAGCCCATGGTAGGAGGGGCTCCCAATGATGTCATCATGGAGAACAAAATCACAGTGATGCACGGTAGGGAGTCCTACAGGCTTGGGGCAAAATGGCCATTAGTGGGAGGGGGTTTTCAATGATGTCATCACTGTACAGCCAATCACACTGCTGCATGAGGAGGTTCCTCTTGCCAGACTTTGGCATCACAGATCACCAACAGGAGGCACTCTTGATGTCATCACTGTGTGGCCAATGATGGTGTTACGATTAGGAACCCCTCCTACCAGCCTTGGGTATCACCCGTAGGAGGGGTTCCTGATGAAGTCCATGCTGTGTGTGTTCAAGAACAGTGCCACATGATCAGGAGCCCCTCCCACCAGCCTTGGTTATTGCAGCCCACAGGTAGGAGGGGCTTCAGATGATGGCACAGTGATTGGCTATGCAGTGACATGATCAGGAGCCCCTCCCACCAGCCTTATCTCAGCCCACAGGTAGGAGGAGCTTCAGATGATGTCACTGCACAGCCAATCACTGTGCCACATGATCAAGAGCCCCTTCTACAGGCCTGGGGCCTCAAGACCCACTGGTAGGAGGAGCTCCAGATGTCACCAGTGCATAGCCAATCACAATGCAGCATCTTAAGCCCCCTCCGAGCAGCCCACTTAAAGGGCCAACTGTCCCATCGGGATAACAATAAGACTCCCCTCCAGGCAGGTTAGATGGACAGCTGGATCACTCTGGTCTCCTAGGTAATGCCTCCCCCCACACACAGTCTCCCTGGGGAGGGGAATGGGGTCACCTGTCTCCTGCAGGAAGCCGGTGAAGTCCAGTTCTAGCTCGGGTTTGGCGGGCGGTACCTCCTGATCGCCCATCTCCATGCTGACTCCGCCAGAGCCGCTTCCTCCTCACACCAGATCCGGCTTCCCGATGTTTACTGCCTCCGGCCAATCGCAGTGCTCAGCTGACGTGTCTCTGAGGTCACATGGGGGACGCTCAGGACGTAAGCGAATCAGAAACCAGATCTACGCTGCGTTCCAAGACTCGCTCCGTAGTATAGCGTCACCCGCGATTGGCTGATAGTGGGTGGTAAGGCGGGGCTGAGCCTGGGGGATGATTAGGCGGGTATTGGAGATGACAGCTGATATACAGAGGCGGGAGGGAGGCTGGGCTCTATGGGGCTCATTGCAGGGGGCTCTACATAAGGACATGTATACTCTGTGTGTGTGTTTATTTTATATATATATATATATATATATATATATAAATATAAAATGCACGCGCCTCACAAGACCTCCTTCTCTTTAGTTCCCTGGTCTCCTCCCATGCCCGCCTCCAGGACTTCTCCAGGGTGTCACCTATCCTCTGGAACTCCCTGCCCCAACCCATCAGATTATCACCTTCTCTCCTCTCCTTTAGGCGCACCCTGAAAACCCATCTCTTCAGGGAAGCCTACCCCACCCCCTGCTAATTTGCCGACCTCCTCCACTCTTCCTACCACTCCATCCCCCACAGCTATCTCCTCCTGTGCCACCATCCCCTCCCTCCTAGATTGTAAGCTCCAAAGAACAGGGCCCTCAATCCCCTCATGTTTTGCATTGTATTGGTATTGTTCTGTCACATGTTCTGTCCCCCTTTGTAATGTACATCGCTGAGCGAACTATTGGCGCTTTATAAATACTGTATAATAATAATATAACAGCTTCACCTCTTCTGGGAAGGCCATCCACAAGGTTTAGGAGGGTGTCTATGGGAAGGTTGGACCATTCTTCCAGAAGCACATTTGTCAGGTCAGGCACTGATGTCGGGGGGAGGCCTGGCTCGCAGTCTCCGCTCTAATTCATCCCAAAGGTGTTCTATGGGGTTGAGGTCAGGACTCTGTGCAGGCCAGTCAAGTTCCTCCACCCCAAACTGGCTCCTCCATGTCTTTATGGACCTTGCTTTGTGCACTGGTGTGCAGTCATGTTGGAACAGGTAGGGGCCATCCCCAAACTCCTCCCACAAAGTTGGGAGCATGAAAATGTCCAGAATGTCTTGGTATACTGACACCTTAAGATTCCCTTCACAGGATCTAGGAGGCCAAGCCCAACCCCTGAAAACAACCCCACACCATAATCCCCCTCCACCAAACTTTACACTTGGCACAATGCAGTCAGGCAAGTTCTCCTGGCAACCGCCAAACCCAGACACATCCATCGGATTGCCAGACAGAGAAGTGTGATTGGTCACTCCAGAGAACACGTCTCCACTGCTCTAGAGTCCAGTGGCGGCGTGCTTTACACCACGGCATCCGACGCTTTGCATTGCACTTGGTGATGTAAGGCTTGGATGCAGCTGCTCGGCCATGGAAACCCATTCCATGAAGCTCTCTACGCACTGTTGTTGTGCTCATCTGAAGGCCACACCAAGTTTGGAGGTCTTTAGCTATTGACTCTGCAGACGGTGACTTCTGCGCACTGCGAAGCCGTCTGCATGCCTAGGGGATGATTTTATACACCTGTGCCCATGGAGGGGATTGGAACACCGGAATCACATGATTTGGAGGGCGGGGCCAATACTTTTGGCAATATAGTGTAATAATTTCAGAACTTTTTCCACCCTAATGTAACCTATAAACTGCACAACTCAGTTGAGCAACAAACTGAAATCTTTTAGGTGGAGGGAAGTAAAGTTAAAAAAACTAAAATAGTCTGGTTGCATAAGTGTGCACACCCTTAAACAAATACTTTGTGGAAGCACGTTTTGATTTGATTCCAGCACTCAGTCTTTTTGGGTATGAGTCTATACTTTGGGTTGTTGTCTTGCAGAAAGATGAAGTTCCTCTTCATGTTCAGCTTTCTAGCAGAAGCCGGAAGGTTTTGTGCCAATATTGACCGGTATTTGGTACTGCTCATAATTCCCTCTACCTTGACTGAGGCCCCAGTTCCAGCTGAAGAAAAATAGCCCCAAAGTATGATGCTGCCACCACCATGCTTCACTGTGGGTATGGTTGAGCACACTGGTACTGACTAGTATTCAATTGTTTCTCTTCTCCCTCAGTTTTTCTCCATCACTGAGCTAATGTGACCCCAGCAGTGATAAAGAGAGGCAGGGGAAGATCAAACTAGGATGCTGTGCAGGCAACCGACATCCTCTTTTATCAACTGATGATGTCATTGGTTGTCAGGACGCCGGCGCCTACTAGTGATTCGGGCGAAAACTGAAGGGGTGAGGGGTAGAGAGATAGATTTGAGTGTCATCGGCATAGAGATGGTAGTTGAAGCTGTGGGAGTGTATCAGTTGGCCAAGGGAGGAGGTGTAGATGGAGAAGAGAAGGGGCTGAGGAACAGAACCTTGGGGGACCCCAACAGAGAGGGGGAGTGAGGGGGAGGTGGCAGCGTTATAGGTAACACTGAAGGAGCGTTGTGATAGATAGGAAGAGAGCCAGGAGAGAGCGGAGTCTCTGAGGCCGAGGGAGTGTAGTTTTTTGAGGAGGAGGGGATGGCCGACCGTGTCAAAAGCCGCGGAGAGGTCGAGGAGTAGGAGCACTGAATAGTGGCCATTGGCTTTGGCGGTTAACAGGTCGTTGGTGAGTTTGAGTAGGGCGGTTTCGGTGGAGTTTAGGGGACAGAAGCCGGACTGTAGGGGATCAAGGAGGTTGTTGTCGGTGAGGTGGAGCATAGGCGATTATAGGCTAAGCGCTCAAGGAGTTTGGATGAAATTGGCAGCAGGGAGATGGTTCTTTTGGTCCAAATTAACCATTTAAATTCATATTAAACCTGGAAATAAGCTTTAGCTACTTAAGCTCTGGAAGGTTTTACCCCCTTCACGACCAGTCCGTTTTTTTGTTTTTTTTGCTATATAACACAGCGCAAATTTAACTGGTAATTGCACAGTCATGCAACGCTGTACACAAATTAAATTTCTATAATTTTTTCTCGCACAAATAGACCTTTCTTTTGGCGATATTTGATTGCCACTGTTTTTTTATTATATAAATGAAAATTATTTTATTATATATTTTGTTTTATTATATTTAAAGGAGAACTATAGGAAAAACTTTTTTTTTTCTCTTTGGATAGAGTAAGGGAGGGTTACAACCCATCAGATTTTTTTTTTCCTGCCATCTGTGTCCCATTATGGAGATTTACCATTACTTCCTGTCCCCTAGCCAAAACAGGAAGTGAGAGGAAATCCCTGCAAATGAAGAGAATCCCTTGGGGCTCCCCAGGTCACCAGAACTAGTGATAGATAATGGTAAACAGGACAAATGGGGGGGGGGGGGATCTCCTTAAGAGGGGCACAGACAGGAATAAAAACTGACAGGGGTTCTAATCCCTCTCCCTTTAAAAAAAAAAAAAAAAAAAAAAAAAAAGGGTTCTGCCTTTAGTTATACTTTGATAATTTAAATTTATATATTTCTTATATAAACTAGATTTTTTTTACTTTCTGTTATAAAACATATCCAATAAAAGAAAAAACAAATCAAATTTCTTCATAAATTTAGGCCACAATGTATTCTGCCACGTCTTTATTAAAAATCAAAATCCCCCTAAGTATATATTGATTGGTTTGTGTGAAAGTTATAGTGTCTACAATCTATGGTATATATTTTTTTCATACTAGTAATGGCAGCGATCAGTGACTTATAGTGTGACTGTGATTGTGCGGCGGGCAATTTGACACTTAGGCCCTGTTCACACAATATGTGCAGAAAAACTGATGGAAACTGATGCACAGATATCACTTGTAGACACATCATTTTTCATGTGAGCTTCAGTGAGTTCTATACACGGTGCAGATTCCTGCACAGAAGAAAAACTGCAGGTGATACCAGTGTTGTGGTGTGAACAGGACACAGAGAACAATCATTTGGTTTTTTTGGTGCCCGTGCAGAAAAACTGGTGTCTCTGCACCATGGTGTGAACAAGCCCTAGCTAATACTATACACTGTCAGTGTACAAATGACACTGGCTGGGAAGGGGTTAACATCTAGGAGGCAATCAACAGGGTTAACAGTGTGCCTAATGCAGGCCATAGACGGGTCGAAAATCGGCCGATTTTCGCACCGTTAGTGGGTTAATTGGTCGGCCATTTTTTGGGGTTTTGGCACATTTATTGGTAAAGTTGGAAAAAAAATCATCCGATTTTGCCGATCGCCCGATTTTCCCGGCAATGATGGGCAAATCAGCCGATCGTTTTACCGATAAAAAAATCTGCACGAGCCGTGACCTGCAAGAAGAAGAAAAAGAATTCCAGTCCGCTATTATATTTTATATGAAAAGTCTTGCAGTTGCAACAATGTATCTATTTGTATCCGAATAAAACCATCTGTATCTGAAATAGATACATTGTTGCAACTGCAAGACTTTTTCATGTCAAATATAATAGCAGAGCTCTCTGCAAGGGACAGAAGTAATTCACTGCCGGCCGTAGACGGGATGAAGATCGTCCGATTTTTTTTTTTACCGTTGTTGGTAACATCGGCCAATCGAACGACCAATTTTTTGTTTTTTTAATAAAAAAAAGTCTGGTTTTTGACCCGTCTATCGCCTACATTACAATGTGTAAAGTGTACTGCTGTTACTGAGAGATGTGGTTGTTTTTTTTCCCTGCTTTGTAGGGAGAAAAAACTAAGTACATCGCTGCTCTCTGTACAGAGTCCTGTCTTGTTAGTAACACAGTGCTCTGTGCAGTGATTCAGGAAGCCGAAGAGCAGATCCCGGCCCATAAATCATTGGCTGGGACATGCTGATCAACTTGTGCTGTACAGAGAGACAGCAGAGATCGGGTGGGGGGGGGGGAGGGGGATACACGTGCCCTAGACCTGGAAAAGCCAGATTGTGTACATTTACGTGATCTGGGGCAGGGGGGCCACCCGCCTGCAGTAAAAGTACAAGGG